ATTCGGAAGAATTTTTCAGCGATGGAATGGAAAAACTTGTTACATGTTGGGAGAAATGTGTTAGCCTTAACGGTGACTATGTTGAAAAATAAATATTTGCTTTTGAAACTTAAGAATTGTACTTTAATGTACTTTTTGCCCGAGCTTGCTATTTGCTTTTGTTTGCGCTCTACAAGCATGTGTGCATTACTTTTCAGCACACCCACATATATATAGTGTGACATGGATGGCACAACAGGAAGTAGGGGTCATGTGGACTCTGCGTTTTCGCGAGTGACGTCACATACCCCCACTCCTTCCATCATTGTGCAACGCTCGGTAAGCCCCCCACAGTGATGTAACAGCAGAGCAGCTGTGTCAGGCAGCCACTGTTGTGGTGATGTAACCGCATAGGAGCTGCTGCCGCTGCTATGGTAACAGGGCCAGTAAACACTCCCCCCACCCCCCCTGTGGTGATGTCACAGGGAACACCGCGGTTACTACGTGGCAACAGGGAACAGTATAAGAGGCTGGCTGAGTGGTGTGTGAGACAGAGTGTGGATTGTGAGGCCAGACAGAAGACAGTTGAAGTCCAGCAGCTACAAGTTGAGTCGTATCGAGTGAATGGCAGTGACTAAAGCAGGAGAAGTAATTGTGACACTGCAGATGGCAGTAACTGTGAAATTGTAAATTGTGTGAGTGTAAGAGCGAATGTGCAATAAATTTGATAGATCCAAGTTGGCGTGAAGTTATTTGTCGCATGACACATACCCAACACGTGACAATATTGTCAAGCATTGAAGTGACTATAGACAGGGTTTGGATTGATAATCGGATTTAGTGGACTCCTGAAACAGCTTGTGACTAAACTGTGCAAATGACCATCATATACAGACTAGTGTTCTCAGTCACTGGCTTCATTGCACTTCTTGGGAACATCTTACAACAGTGGACGTTCCTCCACTTGGGCCGGTGGCCATCTCACACCAACCTCCTACTCTTCTAACTTCCATCTTAGGACTATCTTTTAATGGCAGGTGGTCCTTGCTATATATCCTCAGCATGGGCCATACAGAAAACACTGCTTCCATTACTGAATGTTCTCTTGTTGCCAGCAAAATGTGTCCTCAGAGCTGTTCCTTAGCAATGGCTGTCTCTGCTGGCTTTCAGCAGACATGCCACAATATATATATAATGAATTTTCGAAGTCATCTTCAAACTGAAACATTTCATGTTAAGTACTTGTAACACAAGGATGTATTTGTTACATGCTCTATAATTCTGCTTTACAGAAGAGATTCAAAGATTTCAGTTCTGAATCATTGACCTGTTCCTAAGATTCGTTTAAAGTAACTGAAGCGTAAACCAGTTTACTGTTTGACTTAAATTATGTAAATAAGTGAATCTTTGATGAATATAGTTCAAAACTGGTTAGCACTTAAGTGTTGTCATCTTTCATTGTGACTGTGAAGAAACTGTGATAATGTAAAGTAAGTCAACAGAACATAAATTTGACTTAGTCAGTTTCAGTGATGTGAGTTTTAACACCAGTATCCCTGAGAGATCTCGTGTAGTCCAACCTAGCTACTTCTCCAAAATACAGGTGATCGTATCTGGCTAAATTGTCTATACTTACTACCACCCAACCTGAAAAATTAATAAACTGAGTTAATTATTCATCAGCATTAGTATCCCTGAGAAGACAGTGTGAGGTGTAAGGAGGGATGGCACAATACTAATTACTGCAATTACACTGAAGGTATTAGGTGAGGAGTGTAGTGTCAGTATGAAGCATTGAAATCAGCTTACTGTATTAGAGAGTACAATCTTCTGGACTGTAAAACCACATTGCTAGATAGAAACAGCAAGTATTTCCCCAAACAGCATTAAATAATTGGTATTCATAATGGAGATGGACTGAGTTTTCCAGGACAGAAGATCTTAATTTGAAATATTATTTAGATGAACTTTATGCTTCAAACAGGCTTAACAGAGGCATGTTTTAACTACTCAAACATACCTAAAGAATGAGATTCATCTACATTTATTTTCTTGGCCAATATCTGCTCCAAGCAGGATGCTTCTGTTCGCACCATGTTCAACAAAACTTGTGAGCTCTCAAGAATCTGCAATGAGAAACAAGAACAAGCAAATAATGAGAGCAAATGCACAACATTTCAAGAATAAAACAGCCTGTAGTACTGATGATGCATGATTTTAGTGTCAAACTCTTTCTCCTGTATCAACATTTTGAATATACAGTACCCTTTCCTATGTTGATATAATGCTGACAAGCCAATTTTCTGACTGCAGCTGCCATCTACTGGCACACACCTAAACTCTGTGATCTTGATCTTAATATTGTGTCTCACAAGAGTAATTTTTTTATTACCATGGAAAATAGTCAGTCTGAATCAATTTTTGAATAAAAAATGATTGTGTGAAAGTATCAAACCCATTTATGTCCTAATTACAGTTGATATGGTACATAAAAAATAAAGAGCAAAGCTGTCTCTGTGTTCCATGCCAAAATGGTAGAACATTAGAGCTCCCAAGCATTCACCATCTTGTCTTTGGATAAAAGTGTTGCAGTGCAGTCTGGATTCATGGCCTGGATATGCTGCTATGAGGTAATGCATTAATTCAAGGCAGTACCTGTCACTTGTTATTTCTTGCATCTGTTTACTCTGTGAGTTGAAGTGAAGGCAAATGTCATCAGGCAGGACCATCTGAGGCACCTTCATTTCTATTCTCATCCACTTGGGAATTCATGGCACATAATGTATTTATCAGGCATAATCCCATTCAGATATAGCAATACGTGCACTGAAATATTATGGTTTCCTTTTGGGTTAGCAAATGGGAGCTGAATCCTACATTTTACATGGATGATTAATTACCCTACTTATAACCCTGTGATGACAAGCCAATTAGAAGTTCTGAATTTGATTCAAACTTTGGCTGGTATGAACTGTCAAACCTTCTTAATGTTTTGCAGTTAAATGTGCTAAGCAGTCACCTGAAAGTCACGAAAGAGCCTTCTTGCAGTCATTTAGCATTTGAACATGACAAGTCAGTCATTCAGCAGACATACACATGAAGTAGCTGCAGCGCAGCCACATAGCAGTTGCAGACAGTGACCTAAACTGAGCAAGTTTGATTCAAATAACCGATCAGAATGTAACAACTCTGTTCTGATCAAAATTATTAATAACATGTGATACTGTGACTACCAAAATATCGCAACATATAAATATATTCCCATAAATCATATACCGTGTGAACAGTGTTGAGAAATGAGTATGTTAAATGCTTTAACACCTGTATATTATATGCTTTGCATCAGACGCGAGTGTAAAAGCGTTAATAATGCAAGTGTGGAATTATACAACTTGCAAGTGAACTCTCCTAGAAATCAACAATCATACTTGTACTCCAAAATGTGCACTTAATTTCACCACCCTGTTTCTAAATCACATACAGATTCCTTCGCATCTCACTAGCATCCACCTAAGTCTCAGCTGATATTCCCTGTGTGGAGAAACATCTTCTACTCATCTTAGCCATCACCACTTCATGCCCGATACCTGAAATATCAATCCTTCATATCATTCAATCTAATTACCCTTCCCACACTCTTTACTGACGCAATGGTATTCTACTAACTGCATCTGACCTGAGTAGGAAAGAAAAGTTTTAACAGCCACATAGGAAGCTTGGATGTGACGTGTGAGGTGGCAAGTGTGGTCACCAATGAGGAGGTGAGATCTGTTAGAGAAGTGAGTAGTATGCTTCATGCACTCCACCATACCCACTGAATGAGAGCACGAGTGGATCCCAGAACCAGTCTGGATGTGTTGGTAAAGAGAATGATTTTTCTTCTGTTGGAACTGAACCTTGTACATCGTAGTCTAGAGGTAACGTTCCCACCTCATGACTCGTGGTACGCGGGTTCAAATACCTGGCGGAGGTCGTCGAATTTTTAAGGGCAGAAAAATTCAGGGAACAAGTCCTCCGGGAGGGACTTTAAGCTGTGTGTCCCGTGTTGTAACTTTATGGCACGTAAAAGAACCTCATATCCCCAAAGGGGATCACTGAGCCAAATTCCAGGACGTTTCCCGCCCAACAATAGTCTCTAAGGCCTCTGATAGATGGGGGAAGCATTATAGACACCGCTAAGCAAGCGGCCAAACTTGCTTGCTTGGCGGGACTGATGGTACGCACCATTTATCGGTATGGTAAAGAGACTGGTAGAATATCATAGAGAGAAGCACAATAGATCAAACTGGTCGCGGTGCATGGGGAAACCCACCCTCTCTAAATAACTAACTAACTACCCCAGATATCCAGGCCATAACTAGCAATTTTACTGTTGGAGCTGTTCAGGTTCATGCAATTCACATGCTCTTAATATAGTTTCCATATATGACGAATGATCTCTCGCTCTCTCTCTCTCTCGGTTTATTTTACACCAATTTTTCAACTACATTACTCATATATCATCTTGTAAGAAGGGACTGAAAAACCTCAGTCAGGATAAAAGGTCTCTGGGCAGAGATTTTAAACAAAAGTGCTAAGAATACCATGTTAACCCTTACTATCCCTAAGTACCCACTATGGGACTTTAACCCATGGCCTCACACAGAACATTCCACCACTGCACTTCTTACACGCGTTTATGATGCACCAAACTTTTAGTTTTGCTATGTTTAACCTCTTATATGGAAGGTTCGTGCCTCAAACTGAATCATCACGTTGCTATGCCAAAATATAAATAATTTAAGTACTTGCAAGTAGTCTGACACAAAGAATTGACTCACAAGAGACCTGTCATTTCACTGCTTATGAATGGGGGGAAGGACGTCAAGCAGAAGTGACGTAGGACTTCTCTGTAGCTCAGATGTACTTATAACTATGAAGTCCAAAAAACTGTGATGCTTACAGCTCATTCATTCTTAGACTGCTGAATGGTGCTTCTTGCATTATATAAAGTAGTTTCATACCAAGATTTCCATGCTTGTGTTTACCTTTATTTCAGTGGTAGGACCTTCATGACAAAGTAAGAATGGCCAAGTAAAATGTGTCAGGGTTCTCCACTACTTTTCTGGAGACCACGTGGCTTGAGAACTCAGGCAAACAAGGACTCAAGTCCACCGAGGGTTTTCTTGCTCCTTTCACGGCAGTTATCCAACTATAAGTGAAGAGAAATTTGGGTACTGTCACCAATATTTGGACATCCATGATGAAGGCCCTTACCCCTTCTCCTTCATAACAGTCCCTGAAATGTGCTTGTTTTTGGCCCTAATGGTATAGATTGGACATGATTTACCAGAATCTCTGAAAAAAATGCTGACACACATACACACACACCTCTCCCCCTGCTCTCTCTCCCTCTGGTCCTCACAGTCATGACAGTGTGGTCTGGTAAATGGATACTGACATTTCAGTGAAATACACTGTCACCATATTCAGGATACAAGTGGGAAAAATTGGGAAACTGGCAGGTTACAGAGAAGTAGGGGGAAAGAAAATGAGTGTTAGACCACAGGCATATTTAGCTCACTTCTGGAGTGACAGCCACGATAGGGAAAGGGACATTTATATCCTGTTTGGTATGCATCTTACATGTACTTGAATTTGAATTTATTCACGTTTCGTAAATCAAAGTACAGGATATGGAACAAGTCAAGTACAAATCTATATAAATAAAAATGTAAATGTTCGTTTGTTACCCCTCGAAAATCTCTGAAAGTTCTTCACCAACTGTTTCGAAATTTTGACACAACGTTGCATTCGAATGCGCACATTTTTATATA